GTCGGTCGGTCGGTGGGTGGGTGGGTGGGTGGGTGGGTGGGTAGGTAGGTAGGTAGGTAGGTAGGTAGGTAGATAGGTGGGGAGGTTTTCAGACATGCACGTATGTACGTATGTACATGTGAGGGTATGCGTTACACAGATACGCATCACATTTGAGACACATGCACGTATGCCTTCTTGGAGTTGTTGAGGTATCAAAAGTACAATGCTGACACATGCTAATAACTCGGTTATAGAAACAGCAAGGATCATATGCATGTGAAGATGTCAATGTATTCGTGCATGAGTACGTGTTCTTTCCAGCCAGTATTCCCCGCTTGCACATTTCAGGAGCAGTTTCATATCAATCAAGTAGTACCTTCTTATGTATGCATGCAGGTAAGCGTGCGCGCAGACAGATGTCACCTAAATCAGCAATTATTCGATTGCCGTTCCGAGATCGGCTGAGGCATTTGTCGAGATTGCCTGCCCAGCATTTCGCAGCTCACGCCGAAAGGCTCGCCGTGCTGAAACGCATCTTTTTCGGGTTTAAGCCGGGTTTGATGCAAGCAGGGCCTTCAACTAGCAAGCTTGTAGAACTATGTAAGGATTGGGGTTTTGGGTTTCGACGATTTGGGGTTTGCCAGACTTGCTTGTGGTGCGAAGGGTTGCATTGCAGCCTCAAGGTCCAACGTAGACATTACTCATTGGTTTGCAACCCCAAGCCTTGGCAAGAACCGTAGAAAGCCTCATGGAGCTGTTTTTGGGATGACAGCGAAGTAATGCGGAGCCCCAACGCGTATGTAAATCAAGACCTAAACTGCGAGCTTTTTTGGGCCAGGATCGCATGTGGGACTCTGGTGCTCGTACAGGAGGCCAACCTCCCTCACAGCGGGGGCCTCGGGCTGGTAAGGTTTCGTATTTCAATTGCAGAGTAAGAAAGCTTCTCATAGTCGAAATACAAGCATGAGCATGAACATCATTCAGCATCACAAGCACGATGTATACCCTCAGTTGACCATGGCAACACCAGCAAGAGCAACCCACGACCGCGACCACCCCCTCCACTACCACAACAACAACAACAACAAAAGCTATTGCAACAGCAATGGCAACGGCAACAGCAACAATAGCACCGAACAGGAACAACAGCGGCTGCGACAACGGCCGCGACGAAGGCAACACAAGCGGCAGCAGCAGCAGCAACAACAACAACAGGGTCAACAACGGCAACAACACACAGATCCACCCCTCATAATCAAGTACAACTGCAGCTACGACTACTGCTACTGCTGCTCCTACTACTAGTGCTAGTACCACCGCTGGACCACCACCACGACTACTGCTACTACTGCTACTACTTCTACTACTACTGCTACTACTGCCGGGTCTGAATCGATCAGACAGCTCGAGTCCTTATCTCTAAACCCTATGAACAGGCTTTCTCCCAACAATTGTCGTGGAATGGCAATGGAAAGCCCCGAACCGCTTTTGATTCCGTTGCTTCCTGATTCAGAAGTTACGGAATCTTGTGATGGCTCGTGATTTAGGTTTGGGCGCGGGTGCACGACGAAGCCATGTCTTGAGCCACATTTTTGGAAAACCGATGCTTCTGCGGTGATGAACCCTGAGGCATTGGAGAGCCCCACTAAGCCCCAAATCCCCAAATCCCTAGCCCTAAACCGACACCTAAATCTCTGAACTCCAACCTTGAACCCTGCACCCTAAACCCCGTATCATTAATTGCTCCCTGCATCTCGTGTCTTCCGAGGCGGTCTCTGCAACATTTTCACCCTGCATCGCCGGCAAAGATTGAACAGTTGAAATTACGTGGTTCGGGGTGGACGAGATTTTGCAGTATACGTGGGGTCTGGCAGCTATCGTATCCAAGCCTGCGCAAAAGCATCCAGTTTGTGTGTAGGACCGCGTGTATGAGGTCACTTACACACACATATACAAAAACGTTCGTTCGTATCGACATAGACATGTACAGATATGTAGATACACTTACGTACGAGCATGGTTATCTATGTACATGTAATCACCCACCCATGCCTGCATGCATGGGTAGAATGCCTACACCACACATACATAAGTACGTACGTACGTACATCATACATGCTTACATGTATAAACATCGACAAATACTGACATACTGCGTACTTACATGCATAACATGCATGCATTCCTTCACTCCTGCATCCATTCATTCACTCATGCATGCATATGTTCGTTCGTCCATCCATGCATCCATGCTGTATTTCATTCGTCCATGCAACCAACCCATCAGATATTCAGTCAGTAATCAAGCAACCAATGAATCAAGCAATCAATCAGAAAAATCAAGCGAGCAAGCAATCAAGCTGTCGATCAACGGAACAATCAACGAACCAATCGAACACACAAACAAACACACATTCATTCATGCACTTATTCATGCACTCATTCATTTGCTCAAGATAAAAATCAATCATTCGAGCATTCATTCATTCATTCATTCATTCATTCATTCATTCATTCATTCATGTATTCATGCATTCATGCATTCATTCATTCATTCGTTCGTTCATTCATGCATTCACTAATGCACTCATTCATCTGAAAATTCATCTATGCACTCATTCACCCATGTATTCATGTTGTCATGCATTCATGCTTTCATGCATTTATACTTCCATACATACTTACAGTCATTCATTCTTTCTTTCGTTGGCTCATTCGGTCACCCATTCATGCATTAACGCCTTCCTTCATTCATCAATTCATTCATGCATGCGTTCATTCATTCATGGACCATTCATTCTGTGTTCATGCATACTTACGGATAGTTGCCCTTGTTCTGTGTGATTTTTCAGCGGTTACATGTAGCTTTATAGGTTGTGTCGAGGTAAATATACTTTGCATTCACACGTCACGGTGCGTCGGTGCCATGTCGCATGTTGCGGTCATCGGGCTGCGTTTCACCACCACCAGGACCATGACGCTGTAATGGGTGTCATGGGTTGCAGCAGTACTACTTCTAGTAGCAGCCAATAGCAACAGCGCCAGGATACAAATGTACTTACCAACAACACTATTCCCATTGCAGCAGAGTCGAGTGTATTAAGCTGATCGCATCTCCAGAGCCAGATTCGTGGCCATCTTCCTCCACAGAATCATCACAAGCATCGCCACTATCGCAAACATGTTATCTTCGTTGTCGGCTTCATCACCATTACCAGTGCCGAGAACCAGGACAGTATTGACGTGATACAGAAACCCCCTGGTGGTCTCCGCCCCCATTCATGCTACAACACAGCCCCCTACGCAACAGAACCGCAAACCCTACGCAAATTCAATCCACCAAGGCCCCACAAATTAGACTTATGACTCCTGTGCACTCCAGGCTGAGACGAATTTCCGAATTTCCTGCAGGCCGGTTGGGGTTATCTTATAAGCATGATAACAAACGTTGCAATAGCAATTGCAGTAGTGACAATCTTGAATGTAGTACTTGTACCAGGGTCAATGATACAGTAGAGCAGTAGAGTTATACACAGGTTTTCGGTTGAACAAAGGAGTATATCTTAGCACATACTCATACGGGCAATTTTTCGGTTTTCGTTCTCCAGGAAACTTGGAGGTTAAGCATGTAAGGTTGCCTTATCGGCGCAATCGGTCTTATTGAAGTTGCTTCAGCCCTGGGTTCGAACTTATGCTGTCGACTGTCTTACTACATGGTGCTATCCTTGCATAGCATTGCTGTCGATCTGTATGAAGTAGTACGTTCAGATTTCGTGTACAGTTGACCGACCTGCCTGATACCAGTGGAGCCGAGAGGTACGAGTTTAGTCATCAGCAATCGTATCCTCATGTTGCTCCTAGCAGCACTGTGGTAAACGAGCAGTGCTTTTCTGATCATGGTTCTGATGACAGTGATGACGCTGCGCTTCTGTCAATGCGACAGAGGCCCCCGCTCACCCCCAGAGAAGCTCCAGTTTCAACTTATGCTAAGCCACGAGCTGTGGCATGCAGTTTGAACCAACTTGCTTACTACAAAACTGCCTTTGAAACCCAAACTCTTTGTGCCGTACTTAGACCCGCGACCTCAACGCCAAAGTTTCTGAAGCAAGAGCTCGTGTCGAAACGCCCTGCCGTCGTCGGGCCGTCCGTCTCCAAGGTGTGGGCGCGTGCAGTGCGAGCATCGAGTGCCTTAACTTCTGGCTGAGCGACGACCAGGTGGGCGATGGGTCTTTAGTCACTAGGGTTAGGTAACTGAGTTACAATACCTTATTTATGATGAGAATATCATCAACCTCAAGCAAGGTACTTGTAACTCTACTTCTCGGTTCAACACAGGGCTTCACTGGAGTTGTAGGGCTTGCTCGCAATCCTCGTATGGCTGTTGGTATTCATGGTTTAGTTCTTCGACTTGTGAGGTTTGGGGTCTGTGGGTCTAAATGTAGACACATATGCGTCGCATGTAGGGTCTTGACATTGACTGGGTTCAGGGCCTGGGACGTCAAGCAATGAAGTCAAGGTATCCAAGCGGCAGCACGCATGCCTGCTCGGAAAGTTTCATCTGCTTGCCTTGTAAAGCCGGTCGGAAAAAACAGGGAAGAGGGCCAGCTTGGCAGAAACCAAAAATCCTTCAGCCTTAAAGGAGCCCTCAAGCGTGATGATAGGCCCACAGCTCCATCACGCCCAAGGACAGAAGTCCTAGAATCTAAGACAGCAGCTTCCCGAAAGCCAGAGCGAGGAGCTCTCACGGCTGCTGTCCCTGCAGCAGTTTCCGGAGCTTTTGCGCACCTTGAAGGCCTACGGAAGGAGCAGAGAAGGGGCCTTGGGCTTTTGGGGTTTGGAAGGTGAGGTCTTTAGGATGTCAGAGTTCGTTAGGGCAGAGTTTCAGGGTTTTGGCGGGGTATCTTTTGGTCTTTGCAACCCAGCGATTCTGGAGCCACAGAGTTCGGGTGCGTTGCTCAACAGCCCTGGTATAGAACCCTAAACCCTAAACCCTAAACCCTAAACCCTAAACCCTAAATATAGTTTGAGCCCAGAAACCACCCACCCTGGAGCCTCGGGGCTGTTCGGCTTAATATGAAAGTCCTGCGCGCCCGGTTTCGGGCTTGCTGCCTTACTTATAGGATCATGGGACTTAGTAAGTAGGGTTATAACTAAGGTAACTATACTTATAACCCCAATTAGGGGACTTATAACCTTACTTAGTAAGTCCCATGATCCTCCAAGTAGGGTTCTGGCTCAGGGGTCCTTGATTGTGTACCCCTGCAGTGATACCACTCCCCGCAGCGAGCTCCTGGCTTTCTACCGTCACGAGACACTGAAGTATGTAATGTGGGGGGGTGAATGATTGGAATAGGGTTCCCCCAAAATAGTAAAGGTAATTATTAAGGCCCCTATAGTAAGGCTTCTCAAGTAGAGATCCAAGTATCTAAGTTGGTTTCCTCCATCCGAATACTGTTTTGTCCGGTCGAGGCTTTCGCCTCGCAGAACTCTACGCCTGCTTCGGCGACGGCTCTCAGCCACTTGTCCACGCTGGCCTGCTCCCCGGAACGGGAGGGGGGGAACTAAAAAGACTCTCTGATGCCAAAAGGTCCGAGGGACCCAGAAGTAAAGGGCTCTTGACGAGAGTAGCCCTACGAAAATAACTACCATGGATGCAGTCTTGGTCCAATCCCTGAAAGTATCGAGTCTCAGGCTTGTACTTGAAGGTGTTAGGATTGGGGCCCTCAGTAAGCAGAATGAGGTCTGAATTTGATTCAGGCGGGGTTAGGTATAACGTAAGCTGCTAGTCTAGTCAGGAGATATTGCTCTGATCTTGAGTCGAGGTTCGGGCTGGGTACCGGGCTGGAGTTTGTTTTGGACTAAACCCTAAACCCTAAACCCTAAACCCTAAACTTGAACGTCATGGGTAATCGGAGATTCAGAGTTTGGGGGGGCAGGGGTGCCTGGAGTTTCGGCTTTGGGATATTTAATGCTGGGAGAACGTGTGTTTAGAGTCTTGGGAACGGCGCCACTTGGGTTGCAAGGCCTCTCCATGAAATCACCAGGATTAGGACTTAGGACGAACAAAGCTCCAGGCCCTGACCGAAAATAGCCCCCCAACCTCCTCAAGCCTGAGGCAAGCCTGAAGGCTGCATCCAAATCCCGAAGCCATCCTGAAGCCACAAGCCCGAGCTTTACAGCCTAAGCAATTACCTCATACTACTATTTTGGGGGCTCCTTGCTAAAATTATAGCATGTTATGCTCCCAAAACCCTATTCTACAGTAGTTATTCAGGCCCGTGCATTAAAAACACTGTCTGATTTTTGGAAGCCTATGAGCCCCTTGAGGTCCCGCAGCTTGCTCGTGGCGCCCGGTCTCTGCCTGTGGAGGTCCGCCCCTGTCTTGGATTCTGAGGGCACCAGGACTGCTCAGGGCGAGGTTCGAGGTTTTTTTTGGGGGGTTTAGGTAAAGTTTAGGGTTTTAGGGGTTTAGGGTTTTGGGTTCTGGGTTTAGGGATTTAGGGTTTAGGGTTTAGGGGTTTAGGGGTTTAGGGTTTAGGGTTTAGGCTTCTTCGGGCCTTTGCCTGGAAAGGGAGGAGTTGGGTGTTGAAAGCGCTTCAGGCCCCGAACCCTCTTGCCGAGCAGGTGCCCAGGGGCAATCTCTTAAAGCTCGCTGTTAGTCCTTGGAGTCTGGAGGATGTACAATGACCGTTGCCATTAACCCTAAACCCTAAACCCTAAACCCTAAACCTTGAAGAACTCTAGGGCCCTGCTTACAAAATAGCGCTGAAGCCCCAACTTGTCTGGCATAGGGTCTAGGTTTAAAGCAAACTACAGGTGGGGAGTTTAGGGTTAAGGGTTTAGGGTTTAGGGTTTAGGGTTTAGGGCTTAGGGTTTAGGGCCAGGTGGGGAGTTTGGGGTATATAGGGCTTCTATAAGGCTTCCGTAAGGTATATAGACCTATAAGGCTCCTATAACGGTAACTACCCACCTGAAAATGTCCTAGACTAGGTTCAACGGAAAAAGAAGTTTGAATAATTCGTACTCATACAATCTTACTAGTGCTTGCAACACGCCCCCAAGACCCCTTTGTTCAAGTTACTAAGGCCTCTACATATTTTCGAGGGGAAGAAACTGAGGTTCTGCAGGAAAGAACTTCACTGGAGGTCCATCCTACCAGACCCTCTGTTTGGTAATTTAGGGGCCTTAACAATTACCAATACTTTTTTTTTGTTGGGNNGGGGGGGGTTCCTTCTTGTAATTCTAGTATCTTGGGCCCCAAAACCCTGTTCTAATCATTAAGGCCCCTATATTGGGTCCATTGGGTCCCTGGTCCGTTTAAGGTATAGGGTTCAGGACCGGGTTTAGGATAGGGTTCAAAGCAGGACCTCTCAAAGAATAGGGGTTGTGGTAGGCTGAGGTAGCAAGCAGCATGGCAAGGAAGAGTAGCCAGCAAGTTGCCTAGCAGCCAAAGCTTCCGAACCTACAACATGCCAGAGTTTCCAGCATCAAATAATCAGTCGCTAGGGAGGCCAACAGACTTGATTCAAATGGGCCTGCATAGCTAGATAAAAGGCTCCATAAGAGTCCCAGGTAGTCCTTTCAAACAAACGCGTGCGTGTATAATATATATATATATATATGTATGTATATATATATACTATATATATACACATACATCTATATTATATATACATATAGAGCGGAATCGAAATTATATCATTATCAACACCTTCACTCCTTCCAACAAAAACTAGTCTGGTTGAGTGTTTTCGAGTGTTACTGGCAGGCTCAGTCGCAATGGCGTTCTCTTTGGGCGCCGAGCCTGGATGCTGGAGAGTGAAGCAACATGCGGGCATTCTTTGCTGGGGAAACTGATCATTGTAATCTCATACAAGCAGAATATTGTTTGCAAACGTGTTGTTCTTATCAAACCTTGCATAATTAATCAACTTATCAAGAGAGCGTTCTTGTCATAGTTCTAAGGAGAGGCTGGTGGTTCTGGAGGTGCAGGTTGTGGTAACAAGCAGGATGCTTCTTCGGCCGCCTGATCCACGCAGGGGTCGAAGCGTTGTCCATGCTGTTGTTGTGTGTAGGGTGTATACATGGCACTATAGCTCGAATAATTAGAAAAGGGATTTGGTGGGTGCATATAAAACAATTATTGATATAGGGGCTGAGCATGGATACAATTTCTGTTGATTCAGACCTCTACATCACGTCGTTGTTCAAGGCACCTGTACACAAGGTTGCTACCGGCTGCGGAGGTTCGCGTTTTAATTAGGATCTCCCTTATAGGAAGCCGGAGGTGTATTCTTAATGGGCCGTCCTTTTGATTCAGCGTCCTACGCCTGAAATGTGTTGACCATATATGCCTAAATCCTTCCTACCCAGATCCTGACTAAACCCTGGATCTATTGGGCATGCTCAATGTCAACCCCACCTAGGTGCCCACTCTCCAAGCTTTGGCGGACATTGCCCGCGACGGCTCCCAGCGGTGCTCTGCGCAGGCATCACGTAAGTTGGACTGTTTGGGTTTCGGGTCCAAGGATTTTGCCAGGGTTTGTCTGAAATTGAGGTAGATGGACCACGAAGCAGTCACAAACCCAAATCCAGGATTTCACGTAGAGTCTAGAGCAACCTTCATTCCGTGCTCAGAGCTAGAGATGCAGATGCATTTTGGCTTGTTTTCTACGGCACGCCTATGCGAACGTGCTGTCCATCTTCCAGGTTTGGTCCACTGGAAAGGAAAGGCGTGCGCTGTTTCAGGATTCGGCATGTGTTGCTACTTGTACAACCCTAAACCTCAACAAGAACAAACCAAGACTGAGATACGCCGAAGTGAAGCTAAACCGTTAAGTCCCAAAGCCAGCGAAGCCCAAATCCCAATCCCTTAGACACCCAACCCCAAAGCCTCAAAACCAAGAGTCCTATAAGCCCCCCAAACTTCAAAGGCCCCATAGTAGTTCCTTTTTGGGATTCCCTAGCAGGATCCTAAATATAAGCCACAAAAAGGAACTACTATGGGCCCTATAAGCCCTGCACCCCTCAACCAGACAGGCTTTCGTGTATCTGCAGCGGCTTCTGCTGGAGTGTGGGACAGACCTCGCGCTGCCCTGGGCGTGGGCCTTGGGAGCAACGATTCGACTTCATCATTAGGGTTTAAGCTTACAGGTTTCATCATGGCCATGGAGAGTCCTGAGGGATCGGAGTTTGAGAAGTTCTTGCGCCCTAATCCTCAGGGGAACTTGATCTGGGCTTGATACGTTTTAGAGGTGTAAGGGATTTCCACGTGGAGTTGGATAAGTTTTGATCCCGAGAGTTTAGAGGGTTCTAGAGGGTGCCTGTAAGTTTCATAGCACAGCACTAAGTCTAAAAAGGGACTGTAAGGCAGCCTTGAGGGATGTCGTGCCGTCATGGAAAATTAGGGCTGAGACAAGTAGCTACAGTTTTACTTCTCCGTGGCCCAACCTGCCTGGTTTCTATCCATAAATACTGATAACAATAACAACATTATACTACTTAATTGTCAGTATTATAGTAATAATAATTATAAGAACACTTATATAGTAATACTAGTACTACTACTAC